AGCTGAGCTATTTCAAATCCTAAAAGATGATGCTGTGAAAGTGCTTTACTCAATATGCCAGCAAATCTGGAAAACTCAGCAGTGGCCACAGGACTGGAAAAAGGTCACTTTTCATTCCAATCCCAAAGAAAAGCAATGCCAGAAATGTTCAAACTACTGCACAATTGCAATCGTCTTCCACACTAGCAAAGTAATGCTCAAAATTCTCCAAGCGAGGCTTCAACAGTATGTGAACCGTGAACTTCCAGATGTTCAAGCTGGATTTAGAAAATGCAAAGGAACCAGAGATAAAATTGCCAACATCTTCTGGATCATCGAAAAAGTTAAGAGAGTTCCAGAAAAACATCTATTTCTGCTTCATTGACTATGCCAAAGCCTTTGACTGTTTGAATCACAACAAACTGTAGAAAATTCTTAAAGAGATGGGAATACCAGATCACCTGACCTGCCTCCTGAGAAATCTGTATGCAGGTCATGAAGCAACAGTTAGAACTGGACATGGAACAACAGACTGGTTCCAAATCGGGACAGGAATACGTCAAGCTGTATATTGTCACCCTGCTTATTTAACTTACGTGCAGAGTACATCATGAGAAATGCTGGGCTGGATGAAGCACGAGCTGGAATCAAGATTGCCAGGAGAAATATCAATAACCTCAGATATGCAGATGACACCACCCTTATGGCAGAAAGTGAAGAAGAACTAAAGAGCTTCTTGATTAAAGTGAAAGAGGAGAATGAAAAAGTTGGCTTAAAACTCAACATTCAGAAAACGAAGATCAGGGCATTCAGTCCCATCGCTTCATGGCAAACAGATGGAAACAATGGAAACAGTGACAGACTTTATTTTTGGGGGCTCCAAAATCACTGCAGATGGTGACTGCAGCCATGAAATTTAAAAATTCTTGCTCCTTGGAAGAAATGCTATGACCAACCTAGAGAGTATATTAAGAAGCAAAGACATTACTTTATCAACAAAGGCCTGTCTAGTCAAAGCTATGATTTTTCCAGTGGTCATGTATGGATGTGAAAGTTGGACTATAAACAAAGCTGAGCACCGAAGAACTGATGCTTTTGAACTATGGTGTTGGAGAAGATTCTTGATAGTCCCTTGGACAGCAAGAAGATCCAACCAGTCCATCCTAAAGGAAATCAGTCCTGAATATTCATTGGAAGGACTGATGCTGAAGCTGAAACTCCAATACTTTGGGCACCTTATGTGAAGAACCGACTCATTGGAGAAGACCCTGATGCTGGGAAAGATTGAAGCAGAAGGATAAAGGGATGACAGAGGATGAGGTGGTTGAATGGCATCACTGACACGATGGACATGAGTTTGAGCAAGCTCTGGGAGGTGGTGATGGACAGGGAAGCCTGGCGTGTTGCAGTCCATGGGGTCACAAAGAGTTGGACACGACTGAGCGACTGAACTGACTGACTGCAGCCCAAAATAAAACTATTATGCAGTCATAAGAAGTAAAGAAGTAGAAGAAGTAAAATGATGGTTAGCCAGCCTGTAGCCAGCCAGGCTCCTATGTCCATGGGATTCTCCAGGCAAGAATACTGGAGAGGGTTGCCATTTCCTTCTCCAGAGGATTTTCCTGACCCAGGGACTGACCCTGCATCTCTTTTGTCTACCACAATGGTAGAGGGATTCTTTACCACTAGTACTACTGGGAAGCACAGGAATTTACATATTTAATTATACATAATAAAAGTGGTTCCTCTGGGAAAGCATCTCAGAAGCTGGGATGCATGCTACCTGTTACACACAAACACTCTATGCATTAAGTATTTTCTCTGCACCCAACTTAGGGAGAAATGAAAAAAAAAAAAAAAGAAAAGAAAAAATCCTGGGGCAAAACTATCCTGATATCCAGTCTCTAAGATAGCATCCTATGATCCCCCACTTGTTGGTGTTCACAACCTCTACAGTTCCCTGTCACACTATCAGTCTCACAACCTCTACAGTTCCCTGTCACACTATCAGTCTGATCTATGTGATTAATAGAAAAGCTGGTATGTCACTTCAGAAATTATGTTATTAAAGACACCAGGGTCTCTTAGAAAGAAAACCAGCTGCCATGTCATGAGCTGCCTTATGGAAGTGGCAAGGAACTGATAAGAAGCATACGGTTGGGCTTAGAAATGGATTCTCTGGCTGTGATGACCCTTGACTCCAACTTGTGGGAGACCCTGCACTAGAACCACAGCTGAACCATTCCTAATCCCTGACCTTCAGAAACTATATGAGAAAATAAACATTTGTTAAGCTGCTTTGGTTTTGAGACAAATCTGTTATATGAAAAACAGTTAATCAATACAACTTTTAAAAAAATGATAAGGTCTCGAAAACGAACAGAATGACTACGGAAAAAAAAGTGAGTATCAGGTCAAAAACACGACTATTTCTAAGTGAAGATGTAGTGTAATTGCCTGACGTTAATCATTTGATTGCCAAGTGGCATCCACTTCAGAAATGCAACCTGAATACAAGTATCCCCACAGGACTGGCCACAGTGGCACGGTCAGCTCCTGGTCAGCTGGACTGCAAAACAAGGCAAGGCACTAGCCTGCCTCCACATACGAAGGTCCCGATTTCAAAAAGCCCTGGTAACCTAGATAAATGACCGTCTCGGTGGCCCTACTTCTCCATTCCTGCACCCTAATCCCTGCTATTGCTTTAAACTAGCCAATGAAGAGCAAGCACACGAAAATCTAGACACCTAGACCTCAGATCCTTATAAACGCAGACCCAGGTGTGCCCTCCTCTCTCTGTGTTTCTCTCTGCCTCTGTTACTGTGTAGCCCTTGGGTGTACCATGTACCCTTCAGGATCTGTGAGTAATGAATCTTGTTTCTCAGAGTACCCTGATGGTTTCTGCTGAAGTGCACCCTGAGGTCATAATTAGAATGGTTGGTTCAGCCACAAAACTGGAGGGAGTGGGGTTGGGGAGTGGGGGCTTTGGAATACACCAGAGTAACCCTGGCCAGAGTTCTTCAACTGTTTCCACAGCCACTCACCTGCGTGCAGAGGGTTGAAGGAGAAAGAAATGAGAAAAGTGTAGAAGAAGCCTTAGAGGAAGCAGTTAGTACCAGATGTCTGTGCATTACCGAAGTAACCAGAATAAACCAAAACCTAACAGCTGGAAAGTCACATTAAACATGACTTCCCAGTCCCATTAGACTAGTGACCTTTCTCCAAAGCGCCTTATAAACAGTTTCCCTTCACAGGGAGAACACCCTAAATTGGAGCCAAAGCTCCCCAGGCTGGACAAGGTAAAAAGGCCCAGGCAGGGACTCTGATGTCAGGTTGTTCTGGGGAAATAGTTATTTGAGCACTTAATTTACAAAGGAGAGTAGTGTCTATTAGAAAGTCAATCAACCTGTTCCCCAGTGTCAAAGTTATCGGAGGCTACTGTAGGGGAAATTAGAATTGGACGTCTCAAGCTCAGGGGAGCCCCTGGGCCTGTTTATTATCAGAGTGTTCCTCTCCTTTTGATTGCCAGATTGTTTAATTGTGACCCCTTCAGGGGCCATTGCTCTTCTGATCTTAACATATCTAATATATGCCCCAAAGATCTTTCCTTTGGGACAGATGAAATATTTCCCATTTTTATAAGATTTATAGCACCAAAACACAAAACACACACACACATTCCAACAAAAATGGTATGAACAGATTCTAGCATCGATGCATACAGATGAATCAATTCCCAAATCTGGTAAATAAATTTAACTACAAAGCAAATGAGCTACAAGAACTAGCTCCCCAATGAACCAGTTCCAACTGAACCAATTCCCAAATCAGATAAAGAAATTTACCCTACTAAACAAATAAACTAATTCCAATTAGGGTGGGCTTGCCCCACAAGAACTAGTTCCCCAGTGAACCGGTCGGGGCAGCATCCAACACTTCCCTTCTCCAACAGGGTACCCCAACCAAATTGGCTTGTCCCATCAAGGAAAAGCCCAACTTGAGAGGAAAAAACGTTCCCGAACACCGGAGCGACTTATCCTCCAAAACCGAGTCCATCACTCTTATCAGAGAAGAACACATAAAACAAGCTGACGGACTGAACCAGCTACCGAATTGGGTGGACTTACACTACAAACAAAATAGAGTCCGTCAAGTCAACTCTAGAAGTTTATCGGTTCTTTGTCTCAACTGCCAAGAGCTGGGGGCAGCTGGTGCTGCTTCAGGGAATCTTGAAGGAAAGAACCTCAGGACAGTCCTGGCAGCTGCTAGTCTTGCCCCAGTGTTCCCTGACCGGGTCCAGCTAGCCCCAAGCAGCTAGGCTCCTGGCTGGCTCACCAAATTGCTACTGAATCCAAGCTTGCTCTGTTCTCCCAACAACAGGCTGATGAATTCGAGAGAGGAGGTGTTGACGAAAGGAAACCCACTTTATTCAGAAAGCGGCTGAGGAGACGATCGCAGGCAAGCACCTCAAAATAACCATTTTCTCGGGGTCTGGATGCCAGGTTCTTTAATAAATCAGAGATGGGCAGAGGTGAGGAAGGAAAGTAAAAAGGCCATTAATCTTGCACACATCTCCCAGATGTGTTAATTTCTTCTCCCCTGCCATCTACAGGTGGACAGGGTTCTGAACAAAGGCACTTTAGTTAACAGTCAGGTAGAGGGGCAGGATTCTCTGAGGCAAGGTATTAAGTATGATTCTAATAACAAAAGCAACAAAAAGCAAGTCACAGAAATAATTCCAACATGGAATAAGAACTGGCTTCTCTGCAACTGGGGCAGGAGAAGCATCGCAGCAGGGACGAAGGTCTCCCAGACCCTCGACACCGCTGTCATGGTTCGACCAGGCAGAAACCCTGAACACCAGCGAGGCTCGTGCCATACTGTTGCTCCAAGGCAGCGACCCTCGCTCTCCAGGAAGGCGGCCAGACGCAGGAGGCAGCCCGGAGCCGGCCACACGCGCCCCGCGGGTCCCTCCAACATGCGGAGACCAGGGAGACGGCGCCCACGAGCCCACAGCCTACCTTGGGGCCTCGAGACCGGCCTCCACCGGGCATCTCCGGGAGCTCCCCTCCCCAAGGCTGCACCGCCCTCTGAAGGCACCGGAAGGCCGTGAGTCGCAGAACCAACTCGGCGCGCCCGGCCGCACCGCGTGCTGCGATTGGCGGACGCTCGGGTCGGGGGCGGGGCTTCCTCGGACGCACCGCCCTACCGGCGCTCCGGGAGGTACCGAGCGTTGCGATTGGCAGATGCTCCGCCTGGAGGCGGGACTTCTCCGGACGCACCGCCCCCCAACACCTCCCGGCGCGCCGCCTTGCTCTGCACTTGCGATTAGCTGATGCTTGTGCGGAGGCGTGGTTTTCCTGCTACTCGCGCCCCCTGGCGCTGAGCTGAAGCGTGGCGTCTGGGAACCCGCGCGGGCAACAGCTCCGGGGACGGATTTTCTGCGCTGCTGCCCCAACCTGTGGCTGGGCCCGGATCAACGGAGCAGGCGCAGCGTCGCGGTCGGCTCCTGGCCAGGGAGCTGCTGAAAAGGCCGCCAGGGGTTTTCCAAATAAAGCTCGTCCGTTGTTTGCTTTGTCAGGCAAGCCTGACGTTAATAAAAATGAATGATAACCCCAAATGGGCTATGAATTCAGCAAGCGGTGCTTAGGGAATGTTGTAGCCGTGGGTAGCCCGAGAGAGGGGTCTTATTGCCTCATCTGCCGAGGGGGGTGGGGGGCAGGGGCTCAGAATCCGGAGCATTTTCAAGTTTAGAGACGCCAGAATCCCCGGGGACCTGCTACAGCCCGTGACTGGGGCTCGGACTCAGAAGGTCCGGACTGCGGTCGGAGAACTTGTATTTCTGACAGGTTCTCAGGTGACGTTGCTGCCATCCTGCATCACTTTTTTTTTTCCCCCCCGCATCACTTTAAGAACCGCAGGCAGAGAACCCTTCCTTAGACCCTGCACGTGAGTTTGCTTAAGTGTTCCAAGTGTTCCAGCACTTGGAGGAAGAGATTTTAAAGGAAATATGATGGGAAGGGGGTGTTGGGGCTGAGGAGAGACAAGAATTAGGTTACAAACTCACTAGGCAGGCTGTTGTCTAAATAAAGGTGTCTGTTGTAGAAAAAACGACAATAGTGATTTGAAAAGCGTCGGCCTGGGAAGGAGGAAAGGATTCCGATTTGTACCCTCACAACTTGGCAGAAGTGGAGTTTGGTTTTCTGCTCTAAAAGCACTTTCTTGTGCCTCTATAAGAATTCCAATATTTTGCACTTGATCCATTTTCTGTCTTTCCTGCCTAGTTCCTATTCTTTCAACACATTGCATCTGAGTTTCACTCACTAAAGCACAAATGCTTCGTGTAAAGAGGCCCACACTGCAATCTTTGAAAAAGAAAGAAAGAAACATATTAGCTCTAGGTACACATGTCTATTGGTACTTCCTTGGCGGCTCAGCAGAAAAAATCCTCCTGCAATGCAGGAGAGCCAAGAGACACAGTTTTGATCCCTGGGTTGGGAAGATCACCTGGAGAAGGAAATATTAACCCACTCCAGAATTCATGCCTGGAAAATTCCATGGACAGAGCAACCTGGTAGGCCGCAAACAGCACACATACACAGACACCCAGATATTGCTAACACTATTATTGTCAACACTTAGCATAAGATAAACTGGACTTTAAATGTAGATAGTTTAGGATTTAGAATATTGGTCCTCTGACTGGGACACCACACAAGTGGTTGCCTCAGTTAGGCCGAATGACACAGCTCAGCCATCTCACTGTCGTTCTTGGCTCTCAACTTTAATGTTGCAACCAGACTGCTTCCTGATGCTTGAACTAAAGTCCCATTGCACTAATTTCTGGTCATTGTCACTTGAATGTTTGAGAGACTCTTGAACCTAAATTCTTCTCTTCCCAAAATAGCTTCCTTTTCAGAAATCTCCATCTCAGTGGTGGCACTGACATCCAGCCAGTAGCTCATGCTGAAGCTGTCACCCATACCAGCCTCTGACAGCTAAAGGATTGTTGCCTCGATTCACCTCTATGTTTGTTTCAGAAGCATCTGGTATTTGACAGATGCTTTGCAGCTGTACTTTCAGAAGTATGTAGTGACCAACTGCCCCAAACTGGCTCTGACTTGACCACAGGAATGCACCTCTGCAGATGAGACTTGGAGGTGTCCAGAAGTTACCATTACTCATTACCATGTTAAGATCTCCGTTCAAGGACAGGGGTGGAGACTTGTACTCTGCTAGGCACAGTTCATGCTGCGTGCAAGCCCTGGCTGCTCCACAGCCACCCCCACTCCCAACCTGGCTGCCCTCAGAAATCTCCATTCCCTTTCTGGTTGGTGGTTTAGTCACTAAGTCGTGTCTGACTCTTGCAACCCCATGGACAGTAGCTTGCCAGGCTTCTCTGTCCATGGGATTCTCCAGGCAAGAATACTGGAGTGGGTTGCCGTTTCCTTCTCCAGGGGATCATCCTGACCCAGGAATCGAACCTGGGTCTCCTGCATTGCAGGCAGATTCTTTACCAACTGAGCTATGAGGGAAGCCCTTCCTAGAACCCCACTAACAAGTCTGCCTCCTACCGCTTAAACTTCAGTTCAGTTCAGTCGCTCAGTTGTGTCCGACTCTTTACGACCCCTTGGACTGCAGCACACCAGGCCTCCCTGTCCATCACCAACTCCCAGAGTTTACTCAGACTCATGTCCATTGAGTCAGTGATGCCATCCAACCATCTCATCCTCTGCCATCCCTTTATCCTTCTGCCTTCAATCTTTCCTAGCATGAGAGTCTTTTCAAATAGTCAGTTCTTCACATCAGGTGGCCAAAGTATTGGAGTTTCAGCTTCAGCATCAGTCCTTCCAGTGAATATTCAGGACTTATTTCCTTCAGAATGGACTGGTTGGATCTCTTCGCTGTTCAAGGGACTCTCAAGAGTCTTCTCCAACACCACAGTTCAAAAGCATCAGTTCTTCAGTGCTCAGCCTTCTTTACAGTCCAACTCTCACATTCATACATGACTACTGGAAAAACCATGGCTTTAACTATATGGTTAAAGTTATAACCATATAACTTATGCTGTCTAGGTTTGTCATAGCTTTTCAAGGAGCAAGCATCTTTTAATTTCATGGCTAAAGTCACCATCTGCAGTGATTTTGGATCCTAATAAAATAAAATTCAACTGTTTTGACTTTTCCCCATATGTTTGCCATGGAGTGATGGGATTGGGTATCATGATGTTCATTTTTTGAATGTTGAGTTTCAAGCCAGCTTTTCAGTCTCCTCTTTTCACCTTCATCAAGAGGCTCTTTAATTCCTCTTCACTTTCTGCCGTTAGAGTGGTATCATCTGCATATTTGAGGTGTTGATATTTCTCCTGGCGATCTTGTTTCCAGCGTGTGATTCACCCAGTCTAGCATTTTGCATGATGTACTCTGCATAGAAGTTAAATAAGCAGGGTGACAATATACAGCCTTATCAAAATCCTTTTCCAACTTTGAACCAGTCTGTTGTTCCATGTCTGATTCTGTTACTTCTTGACCTGCATACAGGTTTCTGAGGAGACAGGTCAGGTGGTCTGTTATTCCCATCTTTTTAAGAATTTTCCACAGTTTGCTGTGATTCACACAAAGACTTTAGCATAGTCAATGAAGCAGAAGTAGATGTTTTTCTGGAATTACCTTGCTTTATCTGTGATCCAGTGGGTGTTAGCAATTTGATCTCTGCTTTCCCTGCCTTTTCTAAATCCAGCTTGAACATCTGGAAGTTCTCAGTTCATATATTGTTGAAGCCTAGTTTGAAGGATTTTGAGCATTACTTTGCTAGCATGTGAAATGAGTAGAACTGTATGGTAATTTGAACATTCTTTGGCATTGCCCTTCTTTGGGGTTGGAATGAAAACTCACCTTTTCCAGTCCTGGGGCCACTGCTGAGTTTTCCAAATTTGCTGGCATATTGAGTGCCACACTTTCACAGCAACATCTTTTAGGATTTGAAATAATTCAGCTGGAATTCCATCACCTCCACCAGTTTTGTTCATGGTAATGCTTCCTAAGGCCCAGTTGACTTTGCATTCTGGGATGTCTGGCTCTAGGTGAGTGACAACACCATTGTGGTTATCCTGGTCATTAAGACTTTCTTGGCATAGTTTTGTGTATTCTTGCTATCTCTTCTTAATCTCTTCTGCTTCTGTTAAGTCCTTATCATTTCTGTTATCATGCCCATCCTTGCATGAAATATTCCCTTGATATCTCTGATTTTCTTGAAGAGATCTCTAGTCTTTTATGTTCTATTGTTTTCCTCTTTTTCTTTTCATTGTTCACTTAGGAAAGCTTTCTTATCTCTCCTTGCCATTTCCTAGATCTCTGCATTCAGTTGGGTGTATCTTTCCATTTCTCCCTTGCATTTTGCTTCTTTTCTTTTCTCAGCTATTTGCAAAGTCTCCTCAGACAACCACTTTGCCTTCTTGCATTTCTTTTCTTGGGAATGGTTTTGATCACCACCTCCTGTACAGTGTTACAAACCTCCGTCCATAGTTCTATAGGCACTCTGTCTGCCAGGTCTAATATCTTGAATCTATTCATCACCTCCACAGTATAATCATAAGAGGTTGATTTAGGTCATATCTGAATGGTTTAGTGATTTTCCCTACTTTCTTCAATTTAAGCCTGAATGTTGCAATTTCCCTGATACCTCAGTTGGTAAAGAATCTGCCTGCAATGCAGGAGCCCCTGGTTCGATTCCTGGGTCAGGCTGATCCACTGCTGGAGGGATAGGCTACCAACTCCAGTATTCTTGGGCTTCCCTTGTGGCTTAGCTGGTAAAGAATCCACCTGCAATGCAGGAGACCTGGGTTTGATCTGTGGGTTGGGAATATCCCCTGGAGATGGGAAAAGCTACCAACTCCAGTATTCTGGCCTGGAGAATTCCATGGACTGTATAGTCCATGGGGTCGCAAAGAGTCAGACATGACTGAGCGACTTTCATTTCATTTGTTGCAATAAGGAGCTCATGATCTGAGCCACAGTCAACTCCAGGTCTTGTTTTTGCTGACTGAATAGAGGTT